TTAAATGTGTGTGTTTGTCTGTGTTCACCTCTTAGGAACCTGGGCAGTTTTGGGCGTTCATTCTGTCGTCTTGGGGCCGTCTTGACTCGCGTCCGAGCCCTCTTGGGAGCCTCTTGGGCCAGGGCCCTCTCGGACAAAACCGCGGCACAAGTGAACTCGAGGCGCCAAGGGTCTTCCCCTTTGGAGGAATCTTAAGCTTCGTCGCCGCGGCCGCACGCAGTTCAACAAACTTGCCAGAGTGGCCTCCAGTTGGCCAAATAACAATAATCACCAACCACTTGCGTAGTCAATTTGATACGTCCGCGCCACCCCCCACAAGCACTGGGTCTCGTCGGGATCCTCGAAGTGTACGCGGGCTCTGTGGTGTGCATATATATATATATATATACAATTTGGTGCACACAGGCGCCAGTCGCCGCGCTGCGCGCGGCTGCTGTGGTGTGTGCACGCGGATCGTGTTTTTCACAGGCGCTGTGGTGCACGTGGACTGTGCTTGTGTGGACGCAGCTGTGTTGTGCAAAGGCGTTGTGGTGTACGCGTTCACAGTTGTGTACACAGGCGGTGTGGTGCACAGGAGCACTGCCATGCATCCGTGCATTGCGATGTGCAAAAGCGATGTGGTGCAGGCGTAGGTTCCTGCACCAGCATGTGTGGTGAGAGCGGGCATTGCGGTGTCGGCGCGCTTTGTGACGATCGGAGCTGCTATGCAATTTGGCTACATCAGGGCCAACAGTTACAACAGGGGCAGTGCTTTCAGAGAGAAACATCCGAGCGGCTGGGCACGACTGAGTTATGTCATGTGCCAGCGAATCCACCCACCAACCCAGCTACATAACGCGCTTTGTGTGGTTCCCAAACAACTGGAGCTCTTGGATTATCTCGGGTCTGCATGGGCGAAGGAAGGCCGAATGTGACCCGAGGAGGGAAGGGGGACAGTATTCTGACACGGGCCCCTCCTGGAACCACCCCCTGGCACTCTTGGGGTCGCCGTGGGACCCCCCCGAGGACACCCCCCTCGGGTGGGGAAGGGGTAGGGCTTCTTTCAGACTCGATAGCGACTTGGATTGCGACCCGGTTCGATTCATGTCGAGTTGACGGGAGGAATCCTTGGAATGGACATGCGAATTGAATGAAAGCGAGCGAGAGAACGTTTCCCACACCATTCCGACACGATAAGCCCAGAGCTTTTTTTCACACACGCCGACAGGGTCGGCGGATTTCCATACGCAAATTGGCCAACCACGTGACATCCACGGGACAACCGCGGGACAACCACGGGACACACACAGGCATCCCATTGGCAACCAAGTGACAATCGCGGGACAAACGCGGGACAACCACCAGACAACCACGGTGGTACGATCCAACTATTTATAGATGTGTCGTTTTCTATGTACGATTTCACCATTCAACGATCGGTCCGCGTCACTATCCATCTACAGCGGCTCTTGTCAATCGTCGTCACGACCAATCGATCAACCGCACGCATTACCTAACGCTCGAACTCACGACTCGCTATGAATCGATGTGCCAATCTCACTGTTATTGATCGGTTACACGATTCATTTATCCACTGAGTTGTCAGCCGCAGGACATGTACGGGAAGCACAGCACAACCACAGGACAACGGCGGGACAACCGCGAGACAACGGCGGGACAACCACGGGACGACCATGGGACATCGATCTGAATATTTGTCGGTTGTGCGATCAATTTGCCAGAGCCCATATGAAACGATCGGTCGATTTCACAACTTCTGGGTAACACAATGTGTAGATCGGCAACCATACCAACATATCTCTATATATATGTGTATTGGTATCGCGATCGATTGGTCTCCTTCTCAAAATGTCGATGCCATTCCCAGTATGTACATCGATCCCACTGTCCATATTTATATATATATATATACATGTACACACATGCAGCCAGGACATCCGCAGGACAACCACGGGACAACCACGGAGGAGGGAGGAAGAGGAACGAGCAAGAGGGAAGGAGCAGGAGCAAGAGGAAATGGGGGAGGATGATGCGGGGGGAACGTCAGGGATGGGGAGCAGGAGGAGTGAGTTAGCACGATACCCCACGAGCCGCACTGGGGGGCCTAAGATCCGACGATGCGGAAAATTAGCCTGACGAGGGACCCAACCAGATGCAGGTGTGAGTACCGCAATAGTGATTCACTTTTTCGGCGGCGATCCCCATGAGGCAACGAACCGTGCTCGGGGTGTGCCGACATGAGTGGCGTGGTATACAACGCGAACGAAAGCGATTGATCTGAGTACGCAGGGAGACTGAGCGCGGGTGAATCTGCGCGCGTGTGCGTCTGACTGTGAATGAATATGCGTGCGAGCGAGTCTACGTGCGTGAATGCGAGTATGACAAAGCATGGTGAATCTGTATATGAAAGCCAATAGTTTGACAACTACTGCCTCTGAGTACTCGTGACGCTGAGCGTGGCCGCCGCAAGGAGCTTCCCCGGGACTCCCCGACGGCATCGCCCGCGCGCCGCGACGCCAATGTCGGCGCGCCCCCCCGCGAGGATCGCGCCCGCTTCCTCCCCTTCCTTTACTCCCTCTTTGCCCGCGCACTCAAAAGTCCAAGGCTGCGGGCGCAGCGCAGCGCGGAGTCCCCGCGACGCGCGCAGGTCGCCCCGGAGGGGTCCCAGCGACGCGCGAGGATCGTCCACTGCGCGGAGCAAAGAGAGCTAGCTGGCTGGCTGATAGCGGGCAAGGCCCTTGCCGCTGGGCAGAGCGACGACGGGCGAGCGAGGCGCTGGGCAGAACGCAGCACGGAGTCCCCGCTGCGCGGAGCAAAGAGAGCCAGCTGGCTGGCTGGGACCTGCGGTGGGGCTCCATATGGAGCCACGTAACGCTGTACTGGGCAAGGGAGACGCATGCGGACTGCGCCACGGGGACCTTCGGTGGAGTTCCCCTATGGGGCCGCGAAGCGTGTGAGGGGTGCGCCGAAATCAGTGGCGGGAACGCATGCGGACTGTGCCACTGGGACCTTCGGCGGGGCTCCTATAGGGCCACGAAACGTGTGTGGGGGGTGTGCCGACATGAATGGCGGGGGCGCGTGCGGACTGTGGCACTGGAACCTTCGGCGGAGCCCCTATGGGGCCACGAAGCGTGTGAGGGGTGGGCCGAAATGGGTGCGCGGGACGCATGCGGATTGCGGCACGGGGACCTTCGGTGGAGCTCCCTATGGGGCCACGAAGCGTGTGAGGGGTGTGCCGAAATCAACGGCGGGAACGCATGCGGACTGTGCCACTGGGACCTTCGGCGGAGTTCCTGTGGGGCCACGAAACGTGTGAGGGGTGGGCCGACATGAATGGCGGGAACGCATGCGGACTGTGCCACTGGGACCTTCGGCGGAGCTCCTATGGGGCCACGAAGCGTGTGAGGGATGTGCTGAAATGAATGGCGGGGACGCATGCGGACTGTGCCACCGGGACCTTCGGCGGAGCCCCTATGGGGCCACGAAACGTGTGAGGGGTGGGCCGAAATGAGCGGCGGGGACGCATGCGGACTGTGCCACTGGGACCTTCGGCGGGGCTCCTATGGGGCCACGAAACGGGCGAGGGGTGTGCCGACATGAGTGGCGGAGACGCATGCGAATTGTGCCACTGGAACCTTCGGCGGAGCCCCCTATGGGGCCACGAAACGTGTGAGGGGTGGGCCGAAATGAGTGGCGGGGGCGCATGCGGACTGTGCCACTGGTACCTTCGGCAGAGCTCCTAAGGGGGAACGAAGCGTCTGAGGGGTGAGCCAAAATGTGTGTGCGGGACGCATGCGGGCACACCCACTGAGACCCTCGGTGGAGCTCCCTATGGGGCCACGAAACGTGTGAGGGGTGTGCCGAAATGGGCGTGCGGGACGCATGCGGGCACACCTTCTGGGACCTTCGGTGGAGCTCCCTATGGGGCCACAAAATGTATGAAAGTGTGTGCCGAAATGGGTGTGCGGGACGCAGGCGGACTGTGCCACTGGGACCTTCGGTGGGGCTCCCTATAGGGCCACGAAGCGTGTGAGGGGCGTGCCGAAATGGGTGTGCGGGACGCATGCGGGCACACCCCCTCCCTATAGGGCCACGAAACGTGTGAGGGGCGTGCCGAAATGGGTGTGCGGGACGCATGCGGGCACACCCACTGAGACCCTCGGTGGAGCTCCCTATGGGGCCGCGAATCGTGTGAGGGGTGTGCCGAAATGGGCGCGCGGGACGCATGCGGGCACACCCACTGGGACCTTCGGTGGAGCTCCCTATGGGGCCACGAAACGTGTGAGGGGTGTGCCGAAATGAGCGTGCGGGACGCATGCGGGCACACCCACTGGTCGGCGGAGCTCCCTATGGGGCCACGAAACGTGTGAGGGGCGTGCCGAAATGGGTGTGCGGGACGCATGCGGGCACACCCATTGTGACCTTCGGTGGAGCTCCCTATGGGGCCACGCAACGTGTGAGGGGCGTGCCGAAATGGGTGTGCGGGACGCATGCGGGCACACCCTCTGGGACCTTCGGTGGAGCTCCCTATGGGGCCACGAAACGTGTGAGGGGTGTGCCGAAATCGGTGTGCGGGACGCATGCGGGCACACCCACTGGGACCTTCGGTGGAGCTCCCTATGGGGCCACGAAACGTGTGAGGGGTGTGCCGAAATGGGCGCGCGGGACGCTGCGGATTATGACGATCTTGGTGATGACGTTGATGATGACGACGATGATGGTGATGACGATGATGATGGTGGGAGGAGGGAGGAGGAAGGAGGGGGAGGAGGAGGAGAGGAGGAGAGGAGAGGAGACGCGGGCCACCGTCCCTTCAAAACGAGGACCCAACACCACAGGATGGTTGGGAAATACAATATCGCTAACAATTACGACCAGAGATAGGCCCCATCTTTCTGCTGCATCTTTCGAGCCGGTCGATGTGTGAGGGCCCTGGGGCCCGAAAGCGGATCTCAGGGTACGATCCCTGCGGGCCGCTCCAGGGGGGGCGTCCCGCAGAGGCCATGCCGCCCATGCCCCTGCAGCAGCAGGCCTCCCACCAGGCGCTCTCTGGCGGCCGGCAACCCGCCGCGGCGGGAGCGCCGCGAGACCACCTCGCGGCCCACCGCGCGAAGTGTCGATCGGCCTAGCGTGTCGAAGGTTCAAGGACCCCCAGAAGAGTATGTTCGCATACTCTGGCGCGTAGCGGTCGTTACTCCGGCCTCCCCCCCGGGTAACGGTGACGATCGTGCGCAGGGTGGGGCCAGGATCCCCCCACCCAAATGCGCCCCACCTTGCCGAAGCCTTACCGTTGATCGGGCCCCTCCCCCTGGTAACGACCGTTACCAGAAATTATGCATACAAATCCAGACGTCCAACGCATTCGAAACATCACGATGAGTTGGTTTCGCCGTTGTCGGCCTTTCGGGGCCCTCGCCGTGACTTGGGCCTGCCAACAAAAATGTTCCCAGATAATTGGATACCAGAATTGTTCGGTCGCGATCGGTAGCGACCGATCGACATTCCAAATCGCTCGCGACCAAGTTTGAAGCAAGCTGGTCGCGACCGACCCTGGAATTTGAAACAAAACCGATAGCTACCGATTTCGTCGGTCGCGATCACAAAAAAACGTCCAGTATCCCAGTATCCAATGATCTGGGTCGGGGCTTCCAGGCACCCCGTATTCCGTATTGAGATAATCTTGACATTTGATATTTGTGTCACAGCGGCCAAGTGTTCGTCGTCTTCGGCCTCCAGGTGCCCGACAGGCGTCAAGAAGCGGCCTGGGATCAGAAAGCGGTCTGGGGAGAGGGGTCAACATCTGCAAGGAGGGCACATCGATTACGAAGAAAGACGTCTGGGATCTAGGATTCGGGGCGTTTTAAGGTGCTCTTTGGGTTTGCCTCTGGTGGTGATTTCTCGTCGCCGCGGGTCGGGTCCGCCTTGGAATTGTGGTCGGAGCGCGCCCCTGGACGGGTCTGCGGGTTGCTCTTTGAGCCCAGGGCCCAAGTCACCTTGCGCCGTGATCACGGTGGGAGGTTGGTGATCATTGTCGGGCTCCTTGGGATCTAAGTATTCGGGCCACGGGGCCGTCAACCAAAAAATCCCGGGTTGGGAAACCGGTCCTTGGGGAAGGGGTCCAGAATTTTGGGGAGCCACGTTGCGAACAGATCACGACGTCAGATGTTTGGGATCCAGATTTGGGGACGTTTGGTGAGGGCCGTTTGGGGTTTCTGGGGAAAGGGGGAGGTTTCTCGCGTCACGGCTGGGTCCGCCTCGGAATTGTAGTCGGAGCGCGCCCTTGGACAGCCGCGAGCTGTTTTTTCCCCAAACAGGCGGGCCCAGACCCTTTTGCTATAAAAAAGATGCTGGAAGGATGTTCGTGATTTCCGGCCTGGGTCCTCACCGTGCCCCGGGACCGTCAAGAAGCACCTCAGATATAGGGACGTCGCTGAGAGGTCTGAGGGCCCGAGACTCAACAGTATCGAGAAGTCAGTGGTTTGGGGCGGGGGCTGCAGTACGGGCGGATAACCCACAGCATGGGCGTCACATGCAGGCAGGGGTTCCGACTGCCCACGTGTGTTTGACGAGGCTCCCAGGCGGATGCGTGCATTCCTGGCGACACAGACAGACGAAAATCTGCATTGCCAGCACATGTTAGTCGTTTGCTGTTCTTTTCGTGGTCACCATGACTTCCCTTACAGTGCGCATTCCTCCGTTGTTCGTCTTCGTCCTCCGAACTGGCTAGCGTTCGGTGGGGGTCCTTCGTTTTCGTGCCATTGGTTCGTTGTCCGCTGCGTTAACAAGGCATTGATCACATTTGGATTCCCAGCGATGCTGCGATGCTGGCTTCCAAGTCACCAAAGGAATTCACTTTCCATCCAGCATCCAGCGGAAAGGGATGCATGTCGGTCGGCCAATGAGTTTTGTGGAAAGTCATCTGTAGAGGATCTGGGGAGCTCGGTGTCAAGGCCCCCAGGGACCCGAGTTTCAGGTAGTTGGTCATTGTACTGACGACGGGAGAGAGAGAGAGAGAGAGACAGAGAGAGAGGCTGGAAAAGTCAACGTGGACCAATCGGTTTGTGCATGAGCGACAGAAGAGAGGCTGGAAACGTCAGCTGTGATCGTTGGGTAGTGGCGATGGGAGTGAGAGGTTCAAACGGTCAAAGCTGCATGTGTGGTTCATGCGCTGGCGACTGGAGGAAGAGTCTGGAAAGCTCAACGCTGATTCGCTTGTCCTTGCGTTGGCGATGGGAGAGAGCGGCTGCAAAGGTCACCTGCCTGCGTGCGTCGAACCGTTTTTTCTTTGGTGGCTCGAAACCCATGCCCCGCTTTTGCAATATACAACGTCTCTTTTCAGTCGGAGGGTTTCTTTCCTCCTCTTCTGTCTCACAGCAGCTAGTTTCTTTAAGGAACTCTTTCGTTTTCGTTTTCTCGCCAACTGACTTCTGGCCCCCCTCAATCGTCGCTCGCTTTCCTGATCAACTACACCTGCTGGGCGAGGGGCCTCTCGTTTCCAGGTTTGTTTTCTCTTCTCGCTGGGAGAGTACTGCCCCCCCCCTCCCCCCCTGGGCCATCCGCTCGCGTCGTGGCCTCCGACGCGGGAGGGCCGCATCCCCTCTCGTCCGCGCGTCGGCGAATCACCTCGAGCACACGCCTTCTCTCGTCGCCATATGTCTGCCTTTGGGGTGTGATGACTTCTTGTGCACCGTCCCTCGCCCCACGCCCTGCAGGGAGCTGTCTTTCCTCACCCTTCCCCGTGTTGGAGAGCAGCAGTGGCAGCTCACGCCTGGGCGTCGTGTGCGTCGTGTTTGGAGCCGGCGTCGCGCGCAAAACGGAAGGGAGGCCGCGTGGTTATGAGGTCTTCCTTTGGCTCTCGCGTGAGTGGGGCAGGGCGTCCTTCAGCAGGCTGAAGCAGAGGACCGAGGAGGAGAGAGAGCAGCAGAAGAGCAGCAGAAGCAGCAGCGGGAGCAGCAGGAAGGGCAGGGAAGCAACAAGCAAGAGAGGACAGCAGGGGGGAGCAGGAAGCAGGCGCCGCCGCCGCTTAGGGTCCGAGGCTGGATTTTGTCCATGTCCACCACGTCCGCCGCTCCCCTGGGTCCAAGCACATCGGTTCCCAGGCGGTGGATATGGATATATCCCCGCCTCGCATTGGGGGCCCTCGTGGTCACGACTGGGCGCAGCACGAAAAAGTGGTCGGGGTTCATCTCGGGCGAGAACGGGCGGGGTGGGGAGACGGGAGCGGTTTCCCTTCAGAAGGCGCCCACCTCGCATAGGCCCCCTTGCCTTCCAGGGAGCTTAGTCACGCAGCAGGCGCGTACGATAATAAGTCTTGCTATAAGCCAGCTCGGGGCACATTCTTCGTCGGTTTGTGAAAGTCCGCAGGAGCCCAGGGCTTGCGCGGGTCCCTGGGGCCTCTCGGTGAGTGAGTCACTTCCGCAGGGGCACCTGCTGGCAGGCTGTTTCCTTGTGTATGCCACAGGCCTGTTCTGAGATCGGGCTGGGCTGCACCGCTGGCCTTCTCAGACGGCCGCGCGCTCTCCCCCTCGCCCCACCCCTCTCCTGCGCGCCGCCGGCAGGAGTCGCGACGGGCGTCGTGGCCCCGCTTCGGGTCCCCATGAGGCCCTCACGGATCAATCCAGCTCGAGGTATTCTTGCGCGAAGGCCGCTGTCGACGACCCCAGTCGTGTCTCGTGTTCGCGGCGTGGAGCGATTTTGTTCACGGCGCCTGGGTGACGTTGGGGGGGGAGTCGGTCGACCTCAACGGAGGACATATTGGACCGACAGTTGGCCTATGGCACCCCAGATCCCCGCCGTGTTTTTACAACGTGTCTCACTGGAGGCCTGGACCCCTTCCACGGAACCGGTTTCTTCCTGGGCAGTTTGTGACGGGGGCTTGTGAGACCGCCCAGAAAGAGAAGTTTCCAAAAAATTCCACAGTTGTTGTTAACAGCGCGAGGGGTTCTAGGAAGGTAGATATGTGGCCGATGCGAGTTGCCACCCTCAGGGCCTCAACGCCATCGACGCGACCCACGTGATCAACGGGGTACAGAGGATGGACGGACACCTCGTTAGCCAGGCGGGAGGGCGAGGGTAAAGAGGAACCAGCCAGAGTCCCCCAGGGTCTTGTACGACCCGTTTGAGGCTCCCCTTGCAACCCTTAGAGTAGGCGCCTCACCTCACCCATCACTCATCCTCCCTCCTCCCTCCTCCGCACCCATTTCTCATCCTTCCTCCCTCATCCTTCGTCTCAGCAGGAGAGCAGGAGCAACAGGAGTATCGACACGCAGCCAAGTCATAACGTCACAGCGCACACGGGTGTCGGCATCGCGCATGACCAACAGGCCCCCACCCCTGGGGCGGGCATGTGTTTGCCGTAGTGTGAAGAAACGCCTGCATCGCATTCTGGGACGAGTGTGTGTGTGTGTGTGTTGCAGCATCAGTAGTGTACACTGGTACTACGTTGGTCCTCCTCCTCCCCTCTTCCCCCTCCGTCATCCTCTCTCTCTCCCTCTCTCTTCTTGTTTCTGTTTCTTTCCTCACCTTCCCCTCCCTCATCACCCCCAAATCCCCTTCACAGGTCCCCTGCTCAGTCATGCCCCTCCCCCTCACTCTCCTCCTTCTCCTCCTCCTCCTCCTCCTCCTCCTCCTCCTCCTCCTCCCTCCTTTCCCTCCTCGTCCACTTCCCCATCACGAGGAGGAGGAGGAGGAGGAGGAGGAGGAGGAGGAGGAGCGAGCGAGAAAAGACAGGACGCAGCCACCGTCGCCGTCCCCTCCGCGCAGGTCGTCATGAACACCATCTGCCGCCTGCCATGGAGCGTGTGCCTGTCGGACCCCAACATGGAGGATTGCCCCATCGTCGGCTGCTCGGAAGGCTTCGAGGCGGCTCAGCAGCTCGTCAGCTGCCGCGTCGGCTCGGCGAGGGCCCTTCGTCGGCCGCTCGGAGGGTTCTGGCGCGGCTCGCTGCCTGTCCTGGCGCGGTTCGATTATCCTGCCTCCTTCCCCCAACCTCCCCGTTCTTCGTCCACGATCCTCCTTCCATCATTATTCCCTCCCTCCCCCCTGTCCCTCCATCCTCCTCCCCTCTCCCCCGATTCCTCCTCACCCTGCCTCCTCCATCGCAACTCCTTTGGAACACGAGGGAGAGTACAGTCGATACGTTGTATGGTGTACAGGGTCGTAGCATCATTGCTTTCTATTGAGCTGTATTCCAGGGCACTCATGAGGCCGTAGACAGGTATGCTTTTGGTGGTAGGGGTCGCGCGGTTTTCCAGTACGTTCTAAAGCTTTGAAGGCCGACAACCTTCTTCTAATGCTGTTCGCCGCGTAGGCTGCTAAGCAGAAGCATCCCCACTTGCCAATACCAAAAATGAGAGCTGGCGGGTTAGGTATCTTTGCCCAGGGATCGCGAGTTCCTCATTGGGATGATGGTCCTTCTGGCGAGAATCCGCTACACGCTAGGCGAACACTGGCATCGTTTTACGGGGATCGCCGTGGCTTTGGAGGGAGGTCATTGCTGACGAATGTTCGCTGCGGGAGACACCCTGGGGGAAGGCTTTCTGACATCACCTTGAGGATTGAAATAGGGGGGCCCCAGAGGGTGCCAGAACATACTCGACTCAGTCACTGTGAGTGTCCCGCCATCTGTTCCTCTCCTCTCCTGCTGCCGCCGCTTGTAAATAATGGATTCCCGGAAGGTGCTCACGGGCTACAGCAAGAAGGAGATATTGGGGAAGAATTGCCGGTTCCAGACAGCAAGCCTCTCATTCTAGCGCTTAGTCGAAGCAGAAGGGGGAGAACGCCCTTACACTTGTCGAAAGATCGGCAAGTGGATGCCAATTGAAGATCGAACAGCACAGAACCCTTGCACTGCAGTGAATTACTCATCAGAGTCTCTGCCTTGAGATGCTTTCTGTGGACTAGATGCCTGAAGGATCCCCGCCGCTCAGCAGGCGCACTGCGCATGCGGCCAGCACTTTCGGACGCGTTTGGCGCTTCCGGCGTTGCCACGAGTCGTGCATGGAGGGGAGGGGTAGCAGCGGTGCTGGTAGTGCCGCTGGCAATGGGCGCAGCTTCGGGGGCTGAGAATATGGCGCGTTGGGGGACAGTCGTGCGCGCACAGGGCTCTGATTGTCCACAAGCGACGTAAAACGTGCGGCGTTTGTACCTGTCGTCTGTCTCCCAGTCCCAATCGCGGGCGTGCGCCACCATGGGTGATTGCTTGACTTGGCGCCTAAGTCGGTGGCTGGCATTTCCGGTTGCTCGCTCCGTGCCCGCCCGTGGGCGCTCCTCCTGACGGCCGCTAAAGAGGGCGCCCACGAGGCCGTCGAGACGCCCCACGTGGGCTCCAAATTGCTTTCCAAGAGCCCTATTCTAGGCAACCTTCGCAATTTGTGGATCCGGTGTTCCAATGATGTTCCTTTTGTCGCTTGCTCCGCTTCCCGACGCTCCGAGACGGCCCAAGAGGCGCCCAAGAGAATCCAGCACACACCCCGAGAGGGCGCCAAGACGGCACAAGAGGCGCCCAAGGTTGCCCAAGAGGCCCCAAGACAGCCCCCCACATGAACCGTAGCCATTTTGGCTCAAGCCGCCATCGATATCCCAACGATCTGCTCCATCGACTGACATCCGCTAGTGATCATGTCCACGTTCTGCTCGCTTCATGAAGCTTCTGCCAATGCAGCCATGGCCTTGCGCCACCTCCTCGGGCCCTTCGAGTCCCGGGGCTCCATGCAGAACGACACGAGGACCCTCGGGGCCCTGGCCGTCGTGCTGCTGCTGCTGACCGCCCCGCTGGAGCTGTCGCAGCTGGTCTTCGCCTTCGTGGGCGCTGCGGCCTACGCCCTGGTGCAGGCCACGCAGGTGGCCCCACCGCGCACGCCGGCCGCCGGCAAGCTGGGCGCCAAGGCCCCGCCGTCACAGGGCGGCGCGCCCCACCGCCCCGCGAGCTGCCGGGCCGCCCCGCGCTCGGCCCACCGCGGCGGGGTCGAGGCTGGCGCCGCCGGCGCTGGCGCCGAGGAGCGCCCGTGTGCCGGCGCCGCCGGCGCCGCGCCGGCCGCGAGGCCACGCGCCGCGCCAGCCGCGACCCCCGCTGCGCCGGCCAGCGCCTGGGACAAGGAGGTGCAGCAGCTGCTGGACCAGATCGCGCCCACCAACGAGGCGAGCGTGGTCGTGCAGCGGCTGGCACGCCTGGTGAAGCAGACCTTGCGGAGGATCTCTCCGGACGTGGAGGTCTTTGGCTTCGCCAGCGCGGACTTGGCACGCGCCGCTGCCTTCGGCGTGGCCGTTCCCGAGGTGGACATCGTCGTGCACGTCAGCCTGCAGGCGTTGGCGGGCCGCATGCAAGGACGCGCCGCGTCCGGGAGGCCCGCCGCGTCCGTCGCGGACGTCGACCTGCGCAAGCTGCAGAAGTCCGCCATCCGCACGTGCACGGACCGCCTGGTCTCCAACGGCACCTTCAAGTTTCGCCGCTCCGCCTTCCGCGGCCAGGAGCCCAAGGTGACGCTGCTGGTGCCCGCCTCCCTCGGCCTCTTCCCAGAGGCCATCCCGATCGACTTCTCCGTGAACGCCACCACGCCCCTGTACAACTCGGTGGTCCTCGCGGAGTGCGGGCGGCTGATGCCGCGCCTGAAGCAGCTGGTCCTGCTGGTGAAGCGGTGGGCGAAGGATCGCGGGGTGTGCCACGCTGCGAAGGGTCACCTCTCGCCGTACGCCTGGACCCTGCTCGCCGTCTACTTCCTGCAGGTCGGTGCCGACCAGGAGGGCCCCCGGCTGCCGCCCCTCGAGGGCTCCATGCCGCCCTCGCCCCTATCCGGGCGGACCGACGTCGTGCTCGGGGCGGCGGCGCGCCGGTGGTCGCGGCCCGCCGGCGGGGCGGCAGGCAAGCCGCCCGGCCAGCTCTTCCAGGACTTTGTGCGATTCTACAGCGTGAACTTCGATTGGGGTCGCGAGGCCGTGTGCGTGCGCAGCGGCACACGCGGGCCCCCGGACTCGGGCCTCCCCCTCGACGAGGTCGCCATTGGGGAGGGCAGCATGCAGGTTGGCCTCTCCATTGAGGACCCGTTCGAGCCGTCCCGCAACCTGGGCGAGTGCACCACCGCCGCGAGCCTTGCGCGCATGCGCGAGGAGCTGGAGCGCGCGGACCGCCTCTGCCGCGGGCCGAGCGCGTCCACGGCGGTGCTGCTGGAGCCCTGGGTGCCGCCCGAGCGCGCCCCGCTGGAGCGCGCCTGCCAGCGCGATGGCGAGGACGCCGAGGAGGGGCCGCCGAGCTCGTAGCAGGCTTGCGCTGCTCGGCTGCTCGGCACTCGATAAGCTGAATAGACTCCCGTAGCGCCTCAGCAAGTAGGAACAGTTTTGTACTAGCGGCCTGCGCGCCACCCGACTCCACCATATGGCGTCGTGAGACGCCGCTTCTTGACCGCCACAGGTATCCTTAGTACTTAGGAGGATACAAGTTTCCCCAACGACGCCACAGCGGGAGCGGTCAAGAGAGGGGCGTTGGCGTTGCTAGGAGGCTGCTGTTTTTGCAAGCCGGGGCCGACCACTGCCTTCGCGAGTGCCCGCTGCTTCAGCGGCTGGCCTGCATGGGAGCCTCCCTCGTTCATTCTTCCGTGCATTCCTTCTCCTTTCTAGAAGGCCGCAGCAGCGAGAATGCATGGCTGCCCCGCTGCCTCCGGCGCGCGCGCTTAATACCGAGCGCGCTGCTTTTGCAGAGCAAGTACTTCTCTCCCGTTCATCCTTCCCGTTGCTTATCAGAGAGGCCCCTTTTCGCACGCTCCTTCCCCACTTCTCATCCCGAGCGGAGCTTTGCTTTCATTGCCCTGCCGTCGGGCGATGACCTGGCGGCGGATCCTCTGGCGTCGCACATAAGATGGGCGAGCAGCTGCAAGATGCACATCGCCTGCTCCCATCCTCCGCCCCCAGATTGCCAGTATTTTGATTTGTTAGCATGCCTTTGAACTCAGACTGCAGCGAGCTACACAGCTGAATAACTGGTGCGCGCTGCTACAATCGTTGGTTGCAAATTCCCAGTACGTTCGTGTTTTAAGGGGCGTGGGACGCGCGCTCCTCCATTAGGCGTGCGTCGAATGCCTCCCAGAGCAAGGCGGAAAACGAGTCCGCGGCGCGTGGTCATGGGTCATAGACCCTGCCCAGATCGCCCCGTGACTTGTGTCCGCTTGCCAGCTTGCCTCCTGCCCCTCCTCGAGCCGACGGTCGGGGAGCGCGTTGTAGGCGCGCGCCCCGCGGGCTCGGAGGAGCAAGCAATGCTTTGTGGTGTAGGGTGCCGCGAGGGTCGATCCTAGCCGCAGGGGGAAAAAATTAGCCTGGCGAAGGACCCAACCATATGCAGTTGAGAGTACCGCAATTGTGAATATCTTCTTCGGTGGCGCTCCCTATGGGGCCACGAGCCGTATGAGGGGTGTGCCGAAATGCGTGGCAGTGTACACAACACGAACGAAGACGATAGGTCCGAATATGAAAGCTTGAGCGCGTGCGAGTCGGATCGCGAGCGAGTCTGATTATGAATGAATCTGCGCGCGATTGATTCTATTCGCATGAATGCGTGCATGGATACGCCCAGTGTAAATGTATGTATACGACTGTGAACAGTTTGGGTCTGCGTGACTCTCGGTACTCGTGACTCTGAGCGTCGCCTCTGCAGGGGGCTTCCCTGGGAACCCCGACGGCAGCGCCCGCGCGCCGCGACGCCCATGTCGGCACGCCACACACCTGGTGTGCGGGACGCATGCGGACGGCAGCACTGGGGCCTTCGGTGGAGCTCCCTGTGGGGCCACGAAACGTGTGAGGGGTGTGCCGAAATGGTGTGCGGGACGCATGCGGACGGCAGCCATGGGGCCTTCGGTGGAGCTCCCTATGGGGCCACGAAACGTGTGAGGGGTGTGCCGAAATGGGTGTGCGGGACGCATGCGGACGGCAGCACTGGGGCCTTCGGTGGAGCTCCCTGTGGGGCCACGAAACGTGTGAGGGGTGTGCCGAAATGGGTGTGCGGGACGCATGCGGACGGCAGCCATGGGGCCTTCGGTGGAGCTCCCTATGGGGCCACGAAACGTGTGAGGGGTGTGCCGAAATGGGTGTGCGGGACGCATGCGGACGGCAGCAATGGGGCCTTCGGTGGAGCTCCCTGTGGGGCCACGAAACGTGTGAGGGGTGTGCCGAAATGGGTGTGCGGGACGCATGCGGACGGCAGCCATGGGGCCTTCGGTGGAGCTCCCTATGGGGCCACGAAACGTGTGAGGGGTGTGCCGAAATGGGTGTGCGGGACGCATGCGGACGGCAGCACTGGGGCCTTCGGTGGAGCTCCCTGTGGGGCCACGAAACGTGTGAGGGGTGTGCCGAAATGGGTGTGCGGGACGCATGCGGACGGCAGCATGGGGCCTTCGGTGGAGCTCCCTATGGGGCCACGAAACGTGTGAGGGGTGTGCCGAAATGGGTGTGCGGGACGCATGCGGACGGCAGCACTGGGGCCTTCGGTGGAGCTCCCTGTGGGGCCACGAAACGTGTGAGGGGTGTGCCGAAATGGGTGTGCGGGACGCATGCGGACGGCAGCCATTCGGTGGAGCTCCCTCGAAACGTGGAGCTCCCTGTGGGGCCACGAAACGTGTTCGAGGGGTGTGCCGAAATGGGTGTGCGGTGGGGCCTTCGGTGGAGCTCCCTGTGGGGCCACGAAACGTGTGAGGGGTGTGCCGAAATGGGTGTGCGGGACGCATGCGGACGGCAGCCATGGGGCCTTCGGTGGAGCTCCCTATGGGGCCACGAAACGTGTGAGGGGTGTGCCGAAATGGGTGTGCGGGACGCATGCGGACGGCAGCACTGGGGCCTTCGGTGGAGCTCCCTGTGGGGCCACGAAACGTGTGAGGGGTGTGCCGAAATGGGTGTGCGGGACGCATGCGGACGGCAGCCATGGGGCCTTCGGTGGAGCTCCCTGTGGGGCCACGAAACGTGTGAGGGGTGTGCCGAAATGGGTGTGCGGGACGCATGCGGACGGCAGCACTGGGGCCTTCGGTGGAGCTCCCTGTGGGGCCACGAAACGTGTGAGGGGTGTGCCGAAATGGGTGTGCGGGACGCATGCGGACGGCAGCCATGGGGCCTTCGGTGGAGCTCCCTATGGGGCCACGAAACGTGTGAGGGGTGTGCCGAAATGGGTGTGCGGGACGCATGCGGACGGCAGCACTGGGGCCTTCGGTGGAGCTCCCTATGGGGCCACGAAACGTGTGAGGGGTGTGCCGAAATGGGTGTACGCATGCGAGGGGTGGAGGGGGCCACGAAACGTGTGAGGGGTGTGCCGAAATGGGTGTAGGGAGAGGAGGCGGAGGAGGAGAGGAGGAGGAGACGCGGGGACCGTTTCTTCAAAACGAGGACCCAACACCACAGGATGGTTGGGAAAAACAGCCCCCCACATGAGCTTGAACACGCTAAAAGGGCCCTCAAGGAGGCCAAGCTCCCCGAAGACAGGGACGCTTGCTCCGAAACGGCCCACCCGGCCTCCAAGACGCCAAAGGGGTTCCGAAATGTCTTCCGACAGGGACCCAATAATTAGAAATAGCTGATTCTCCATGTGTTTTCCAAGGATTCTCCCGTTGTCGCCAGTTTCACTTCCCGACACTCCGAGATTGCCCAGGAAGCGTCCCAGATCGTTCAAAGACGCCCCAAGAGGCGTCCGAGAGGGCCCAAACACACCCCAGGAGGGCGCCCACGACGGCCCAAGACGGCCTAAGAGGCCCCCAGACGGCTCCCAAACTCAGCTTCGGGACCGCAACAGGGCCCGCAGACGCCCCGAAGACTGTGACGCTTACTTCGAGACGTCCTTCCCGGCCTCCCAGACGCCGCAAAAGGACTCCAACATGTTTTTCGGGCGAGACCCAAACTTTAGAAGTTGTTGATTTACCGAGTGGTTTGCAGGTATGCTCCCGTTGCGGTTTGTTCCGCACCTCGACGATCCAAGACTGCCCAAGAAGCCCCCCCAGATCGCCCCAAGACGGCTGAGGAGGCGTGCAAGAAGGCTCCAACACACCCCAAGAGGGCGCCGGGACTACCCAGGAGGAGCCCATGACGCCCCAAGAAGCCTTAAGCCAGCCCCCCAATCGAGCGTCGACACCCCGAAAGGGCCACACAGGGGGCCGTTGAGCCTCAAGAGAGCCCTGCAAATGAGTCTCGGCGCCCCAACAGGGCCTTGAAGAGGCTTCCAAAAAGGCCCCAACACGGCTGAAGTGATCATGTTCCTCGAGAGCCTTCGGGGAACATGATTGTCGCCGCCAGTCCGAGGAGGAGTAAGAGGAGGAGGACCAGTGTAAACCTAAGATCCATCAGCGATTTTGCAATGAACCCTTCCGCCTAGTTCCCTCCTCACAGGTCACTACAAGGATTTGTTGTCATTGTTCGAAGTACTTTGTTGGAACACAATCGTTTGAACATCTTCACCGGTGCCACAATATCATTCCTTGCTTTTCATCGCCGCGAATCAACGCTACCGTTGCGTATATTGACAACCGTGAAGCGTGCCAGAACTCCATTCCTTGGACGTCAATCCCGCGAATCAGCGTGAGTGTCGCGCCCTGGTAATTCTAAGTCGTGCCAGAGTTCCATATCAGGGACGTCAGCCATAAGATGCCAAGTGTTGTACTAAGACTGGTGCGCGCGGCGTTGAGGCGAGAGCCACACTTTGAAAAGGAGCCGCCATCCATCAGTGAAGCCTTTGCAAACTTCTAGATCATATGACGGGGAAGCGGCCCCCCGGCCCCGGGGGCGGCACACTTTTTCAAAATTTTCCCTCCCGTACACCTTTTTAGTCCCGGGGAGGGGGGGGGGGCGACCCTTTCCAGGGCGATTCGAGGCCGGGCCCGTTGTTGGGGAGGCGCAGATCGGCCCCCAGAGCGATCAGACAGCCATCCTGGCGGCCTGAGACGGCCCCGAGCCACCCCGAAGACGTCCTCTACAGATCTCAAACGGCCCAAGGAGCTGTCCAAACGGACCAAGAGGCCCCCATGACGGCCCAAGATGGCTCCAAAATGCCCCGACGATTGCCCCAAGAGGCCAAACTTAGAGATGTTCAGGTTTGGTTTTTGTGGGATTTTGGCGTTCTTACCGCTTCGGGCTTTCAACGTTCCAGTGGTCAAGAGGCGCCCAAGACGCCACAAACAGTCCAAGATGGCATCATGCGGTCCAGGCCCTTGCTGGATGCTCGGAGGCGCTTCGAATGTCACCTCCAAGAGGCGCTCGAAACCCTGAACATCTTGATTTTTCTTTGGCTGTTGTATGCTTTTCGACTATGTCCTCATTCGGCTTGCCAGGCGTCCGACAACGCAGGAGAAGCACCGAAAACATTTCCCGACACCAGAGAAGCCGTACGGGGGCCCAAGACGGCTCCTAAACTGCCCACAAGCGGCCCCATGACCGCCCCAAATTGAGCCCAAGACGAGCCAAAATGGCATCAAGTTGGCCTTGGCCCTCGTCGGGTGCCCTGAGGCGCCCCGAAAAGTACCTCCAAGACGCGCTCGAACCAGAAAAACATTGATGTTTCAAAGATGTTGTAAGATTTACTACCATTCGTTCCTTCGGCCTGCCGGGCGTCCGGAAACGTGGTCAAAGCTCCGAACACCGCTCCAACTAAACCCATACGCGCTTCCTGAATCCCCAAAGCGGCCCCACGAGGGCCCGGGACGGGCCCAAAATTGCCCATGGGCGGCGCCCTGACGGCCAGGGGAGGCCCCAACACGAGCCAAATCAGCATCGTCATTGTCGAAGACGGCGTCATGATGGCCCTAGACGATTCCAAAACTGCCCACAGGCGGCTCCATGACAGCCCGGGGACACCGTCTGGACGCTCCTCAACAGGGCCACCCAGGAATTCCAGCTCTCCAGGGCGCCTTCTCAACGTTCACCCAAGCGTGCACACGGTCGAGCGGCAGTCCCAAGGCGCCCCGAGGACAGTCCGAGGTGGCTCCGAGATGGGCCACAATGCCCTCACATCGCTTTGGCAGGCTCCCATGTAGATCCCTGAGTTCTCGCCCGCTCAGATGGTAGCTCATTGCGGAAAGCCGCAGTTTGCCCACAATCCAAGGTTCGCAACCATTCTTGGGGAAATTATGTTGCGGCCCAGGACTTCAGCAATTTCCAATTACGCCATTCCGTACGCCCGTGGTCTCCGACTCACAGTCTTCGCCCGTCCCAAGTTGATTGCCCCCTTCTCCCTTTCCCCTGCTTCTCCGTGGCACGAGCCAGCGAGCACGCCTCAAATGGGAAAGAGGAAGGCGCGACAGGCCAACCGCTCCAACGCTTCAAGGAACCAGGTGCATGGCGCGAAGCGCCAATGAGCGCCAATGCAGTCTTATTCACATGTGTATACATAAATAACATATGTATATGTGTATATATATGTATATATGTATATGTATTTGAATATGAATATGTCTATGTTTGTATGTATGAATGCATATATGTCGGCGGTGCCCGGTGCGGAGCGATACCCCCCCCGGAACCGCTCGTCCTGGGGGCTTCGTGCTGGCCACACTGCTGGTGCAGGCCGGTACGAACCCCCCCGGGATGCACGAACCCCTCCAGGGCCGGGGCTCCCTGGTACGAACCCCCCCGAGACGCCCCGCTGGGGCGCCCCGGTACGAAACCCCCCGGGATGGCCAGAGCGCGGGGCAGCGCCCGGGCAGCGCGTGCGAGCGTCCAGCGGCGACGTCGGCGGCGGCGTCGGCGACGGCTGCGTCGGCGACGGCGGCGTCGGCGACGGCGTCGACATCCAGAGATCCACGGAGGCCCCCGCAGCCCCAGAAGCTTCCCGTCGTCGTGGTCGTCGTCGTCGACGACGACCACGACCACGACCACGACGACGACGACGACGACGACGACGACGACGACGACGACGACGACGACGACGACGACCACGAGGACCACCACCACCACCACCACCACCACCACCACCACCACCACCACCACCACCACCACCACCACCACCACCACCACCCCACGCCCACAAAGGGGATGGGGGGGGGGGCCACCACGCCACGCCCAGTGGGAGGGGGGCCCGTCGGGCGGGGGGGGCCCGATGGCATCAGCGACCATCTATTTCATATCCGTCCGTCGATCCGTCCATCCATCCGTACCTGCATTCATCCATCTAGTCCTCCCTCCCACCCCACGCCCACGCTCCAAAGACCCATCCCCCTCGCTCTCACGCGCCCCCCCTCCCCCCCCCCACGAGCCCCCCTCCACTCCCACAGGAGCCCCCTGCCCCACTACCACAGGGGGGGGGGGCGCCGGTGCGCCCGGTACAACACCCCTGGGAAAGGGGGAGAGGGGGGTGTCTACGCTAGTTGTACATAACCAAATCATTTGGTTACGCTCGAAAGGGTTGCGCGTAACCAAAACGCGAAGAATATGACTACGAGCGACCCCTCACACACTTGAGCTATCAAAATGCATTGGACACCCCCGTAACCAAAATTGCTTTGGAACGGTGCTCGCATAACCAAATCGTAATCATATATTCAATGTTCGCAACTAAGTCATAACCAAATTACACAAATCATAACCAAGTCGTGACCAAATCATAACCAGGTCATAACCAAGCCGTACGTATATCGAAACGACCATGTTCGACATTGCCGATGGGGCTGAAGAAAGGGGCGGGCGAAGCAGGAGGGAGTCTGCCCAAGCTGGTACACTGTGGTTTCCATAATGCTGGCTAAGGGACTCAAGAACAGCCCCAAGTGTTGGCTTAGCGTGGCCACGGAGCCTCCAAAATACGCCCATGACGTTGTGACATCAATGGACATGCAGTGTGCCTGTCAGGCAGATCTTCGCTGTATCGCCTGATTACTCGCCCCCGATGGGCCTTTGATGCCCCGAGATGTTGCAAGAGATGGCTGAACGTCCCCCCCCCCGAACAAATAGTAAGAACAACGCATGAATAAGGAGATGGAGTCCTCCTCCTCCTCCTCATCATCCTCGTCCTCCTGCAGTCTTCCGTTTTCCTCGTCCTCCTCCTCCTCCTCCTCATGCTCCCTTGTCCTCCACGTTCCTCCTCCTCCTCCTCCTCCTCGCCCTCCTCCTCCTCTTCCTGTTTCTTCCTCCTCCTCATCTCCTCCGCCCCCTCCTCCTTCTCTTTCTCCTCGCACGTGTCACACCGCCCAGTGCGGCCCACCCCTCACGAGGATCGTGCAAGATAGTGAGCTCGACCTACGTCCCCAGCGGGCGCGCCCGCATGGAGCCGTCGCCCCCATTTCGAAACACCCATTGCGAGGGTCACGCCCCGTAGGGGGGCTGGCCCAATCATGTGCGTCCGCATGGTGCCGCCTTCCCTGTCCTGGCACATATTTTACAAGAGTCGTGCTCCATAAGGAGCTCCACCGATGGCCCCACTGGGTGCTTCCGCATGGCGCCGTCATCCCCATTTCAACAGACACCTCACAGTGATCACGCACCGTTCGGAGGTCGACCTATGCTCCTAGCGGGTGCGTCCGCATGGAGCCGCCCCCGTGTCAGCATTCCCCTCTCGAGGATCGTGCCTCATAGGGAGCTCTACCCATGGCACCAACAGGTGCGTCCACATGATGCCGCAGTCCTCATTTCGGCATACTCCTCATGAGGATCGTGCCTCATAGGGAACTCCAGCTATGGGCCCAGCGGGTGTGTCCGGATGGCGCCGCCGTCCCCGTGTCGGCACATCTTTCATGAGGATCGCGCCCCTCATGGGTCTCTACCTATGGCCCTAACCAGTGCGTCCGCATGGCGCTGCCGTTACCAGTTCTGCCCCGTAGGGCGCTCCAATGCGAAATCTTCCGTGTATAAGTTTTCCCCGCCAATTACGGCACAACCTTTACGCGAGGCTTGCCAAATGGGAACCTTCATCTGGCCCACTGGTTGTGCTGGCATGGCGTCCCTGCCCATTTCGGCACACCCCTTACGCGGAGCGTGCCCCTCAGAGAATTCCACCAATGGGCTGAATGGAGGTGCTCGCACGGTGCTGCCGCCCCCATTTCGGCACACCCCTTACGTGGATCGTCTCCTCAGGGAGCTCCATTTCATGTGCTCCCCGTCGATTTCAGCACTTTCCTCTCAAGCATTGTGCCCCACCGGGAGTTCGGCGCCCTCCTGCCCACCTCTTCGGCAGCTCCCGATCCTGACTCCCCTGCGGCGCGCATCGTAAAAAGAACATGCCATGCTCCACGCCACATGCAGCTGCATCAGGCCTGGCTCTTCGCAACACTAACTATCCAGCTGCCTACGGCAAGTCCCGCCACCGTACCTGGGTTGTAGGTTATAGGCATCTTGGATGTTCGCTGGGGTATCATGGGAGGCCTATCGGGGGCCTGTTTGATGCAGTTTGCAGGCCTCTTGGGAGCCGTCTGGGGGCCTCTTCAGGGGCTTCATTGTGGCCTCCAGGGGGAGGGCCTCTTGGGGCCTCCTGGTGTATTGCAGGGTCTTTGCAGGGGGCTTTGCATGGTATTGCAAGGTCTTTGCAAGGCCTTTGCAGGGTCTTTGCATGGGGGCCTTTGCATGGTCTTTTCAGGGTCCTTGCAGGGGGGCGCAGTCGCCTGTACGCGCCCCGCGGAGGCATGATAGTAATATGACGCGCTTCCTTACTATCAGTTGTTCGCCCTCGTTGCAATTTGGTTACCCAGTTCGTGGTGCGCGTGTGTGCGTGTGTGTCCATGATGGACGCTCTAGCTTACAGAAAAAAGGAGGTATTGGGAGGAGAACGCTGAGGATATGAGGATAGAGAAGGAGGAGGACATGGACTAACTGAAGCGTGACAGCAAGGGGGTTGCGGGGGCTTCGTCGGAACCTCCCGGGTTTTTGGCCTGCTCCTTCCCACGCCATCCTGTCAATTAGCCCTGGCTCATCTCAAACCTCGTCCCTGCATCACGCCTTCTTCACGCTGATTGTTTTCCTATGGAACATGTGCCTTCGGCCGCGCCGTAATTTGAGTGAATGCACCCAAAAAGTGCGCAATGGGTCTAGCTAGGATCTGGGTATCCGAACGCTCGAATAAGTGTTACAGCGGCACATCGCAGAGATACGTGTATCGTGCGTGCGTCGGCCCTTCATGTGCGAGGCGCGCGCTCTGAAACCTTCCAGTGCAACATCAGTGGCTGATGATGTCTGGCCGTATCGCTTGGGCAACTGTACATGCTTATATACATATATACATATTTGTACATACATACATACATACATGCATACACGCATACATATAGACATACACGCATGTATATACATACGTGCATGCATATACATGTATGTATCATGATATGTTTGTCTTACAGGTTCGGTTCGGATGCGCGTCTTGACAAGGTAACATCGTATTCGTGTGGACTTTGCAGGCCCACTCTACGCGAACATACGCGAACCCCCAAGCCCGGGGCTGGGGCACATTCCCGAAGTGTACAGACGAGCATTTTGCAGGAGCTGCCAAACCAGGGCCACCCCTCCGTGAGAACGTTTCGCGTGTTGGGGCACCCAAGTTGGGTCAAGTGCGGCCCAATTATCACAAGACGGCTCCCAGGCGGCTCGAACAGAGCCCGAGAGGTAATAGTTCCGTAGTTTTTTGGCGGAAGTAGAGCGCATGGTGGTTTTGCTTTGAGGCAGGGGGAAGAGTGCACGCGTCAGATTCCCTACACTAGCCCGCGGATGGTGCCTGATCGCAAGACCATGCGAAACATTTGGGGGCAAGCATGCGTGGGGACAGCCCTGCAGGCGAGGGAGCTGCCACGTATACACGGTATGCACCACGTGGTGGATCAGGCAGATGTTGTTTCGACCTTTCAGGACAAGCCTACAAGTGGAGAATTGCCATTCTGGCCTCATGTTCAAGAGAAGGCCTCCATCATGGACGCTACGATGGCCATTCTGAACATCCCGCACACGTATCCTAAAAGCCGTTTGCAACGGGACATCGACCTGCTTGGCTTGCCGTACACGGAGTTCCATTATCCGGATGACCGCAAAAATAAAAAGCGGAGTCGGGGATTTGCCTTTGTCAAGTTTGTCACGCCAGAGGTAGCGCACATGTTTCATCAGTTGTTTCATAATCGTGTGCTCTCTGACCCTGGAAGCCCAGCGAAGAATGTCATCGTCATGCGTTCTGAATCGTCTACCACATCTAGCCAGAAGCATCTGGAGAATCATGCCGGCGCCGTCTTGGAACCCGAGCGCTGTCCGCTGCAGCGGTTCGCTGCACCGCCAGGCCTCCATCACACGTGGCATGCCTGGAAGGACCAGAGCGGTGGCATCGTGGACCCTCGGGCCAGTGCACCCCTACTTTCGATGTTTGAAGATGGCACGGTGGTGCTTTGCAGGTTCTCAGTGTGAGAAGCCGGGAGGGTCAAGATGTGGACTCAGAAGCCCATGATAACGGTTTTAGGCAGTTTTTCAAAGCATTTTCCAACTTTTCATGCCACGCTCTGTTCCCCAGAAGTTTCTATTCGTCGCTTCGCATGGGGTCCGCTCCGAATGTTTGACTCTGCGCCGATGCGCTGAATGAGATGGACCGCGCACGAGTTGCACATCGAGCAGGTTTGCCCGAATCGGGCGAGACTTGGCCGACTCGCCCACTGGCGGCGGGCGGCTATCCGACAGGGAGGCAAGTTTGCCCGCAGCTGGGCAGGCCGCGCTCGATCGGCACTGCGCATCTCCAGCCGTCGGGGCAGGTTTGCCCCGAGCTGTAAAGGCGCAGCTCCGTCTGCGCGTCGGACGTTTGCCCGCGCAGGTCTGCCGTGCGCAGTTGTCCAAAAGGCGAGAGGCGAATGCTTGCAGAGCTAGGCGTGTGGGCAGACGTTGGAGGTGGAGAGGCCCTCTGTTCAAATGTAGCGCAGGCACGGATGTGGAGATGGAGTGGCCTTCTGTTAATGCCCTCTGTGGACAACGTCCGGTGTCTTTCGATGTGTGCCTGTTCTCCCTGGCGCACATTTTTGGATTTCAGCGTGTCAAATACGCTGTTGTCTGCTCTGTAGTCCTGCATCGTACGCAGCACTATCGTTCTGCTTGTAGCCATGCGTCAAACGCAGCGCTACCAATTGTAGTTGTTCGCGCCGTCGCTTGGCTTTGCAAAGCCAGACACCTGGCTCGCCGCCTTTGCAGCTCTGGGCGCCCCCGCCGAGCTGTTTCTTGTAGTCCTTCACGCAGCAGCGGTACGTACTCCACACGTCTCTGCACGGAAGAAGTAAGTCCCCGTCCGCACTTCCACACGCAAGGCACGCATGATTTGTTTAAATCACCGCCGGCATGCGCTTCAATGCGCCCATAGGTTCGGGTATTGCCAGTAGTACCCCTGGCCCAAGGAATCCCCAGGATTCTCAGGGTGGCCCAGGCGGCCTCCAGGGCACCCCTCACGAGGCCCAGAGGACCCTAGGGGTTCCAAAATGGAGCGAAAAGCTGGGAGCACATTGGGCCAGGGGCACTTCTAGCAACACCCGATAGGTGTATGCCAACCAACTCCCCTCACGTCATTCACCGCTCACCCTTTTTCCTTCCTCCTTGCAGGCTGGCGACATTGGCGGCTCTACGAGTCACATCGGCAGCGAATCGTTTGTATGCCTTGATTCCAGTTTTTGTGGAGACGGAACAGACATTATTGCGGCCAATGCTGCTCGTTCGTTCGTTGTTCCTCGCAGCTACGGTGGGGGCGTTCGTAAAGAGATGTTCATTGTCTGATGAGGGCGGCGGTGATATCCATGACCAAGCCTCCACCGGCTTCCAGACCCTCAATTCCTTATCCAATTGGCAGCTGTTCTTCTCGATGACGGAAAGAGCGAGGTACGAGCGAGTGACGTTGAGCAGGGGGCGAAGCCCTTTTAGGGAGGGGTCCAGGGGAGGGGCGAGGCGCGCAGGCGGGGTCTAACAGTTTATTTGGGGGTTTTCCCTATGGTTTTTGCATGTTTTTCGGATTCTCTCTCCAGACGGCCGAAGAGCGCTCCAAGAGAGCCCAAGACCGCCCAAGACGGCCCAAGAGGCTTCCAAGAGGCCCCCAAGAGGCGCCCAAGGGGCGTCCCAAGAGGGTCCCAAGAGGCCAACATCTTCGGTTTTCCCGAGGCAGACGTATACTTTTAGCATCTACGGCCTTTCGCCTTTCATGGCGTTGACGACGGCCCAAGAGGCCCCCAAGACCGCCCCAAAACGGCCCAAGAGGCTCCCAAGAGGCTTTCAAAACGGCCCAAGAGGGCCCCCAGACGGCCCAAGAGGCGCCCCCAGACGGCCCAAGAGGGCCCCAAGACGGCCCCAAGAGGGGGACCACGAACCGAAAAGTCTAGCCGATCGCCCCAAGACGCTCCCGGGAGGCCCCCACAGCCCCCAAAGACGCCCCCAGAGGCCCCCAAGAGGCGTCCGACGAGGCCATCAGGAGGCCAAAATCATTGATTTCCGGTAGGGGAACTTACATGTTTAGCATACACGGCTTTTCGGCTTCCACGGCGTTGAAGACGGTCCAAGAGGCCCCAAGACCGCCCCAAGACCGCCCCAGAGGCTCCCAAGAGGCTCCCAAAACGGCCCAAGAGGGCGCCAAGACGGCCCAAGAGGCGCCCAAGACGGCCCAAGAGGGCCCCAAGACGGCTCCAGAAGGGGGACCACGAACCCGAAAGTCTAGCCTTTCGCCCCAAGACGCTCCCAGGAGGCCCCCACAGACCCCCAAGCAGCCTCAAGAGGCCCCCAAGAGGCCCCCAAAGGGGCTCAAAAAGGGTCGCAATAGGACTCCCAAGAAGGCTCAGAGAAGCCACATAAAGAGCGATCGGTAACGCAAAATGCTCTTCACACCAAGGCTCCCAAGAGCGTACGGTGACGTAAACGAGCTGATAAGACCAAGGCTCCCAGCAGGGAGCGATGACGTAACAAGTTCCTGACACCAAGGCCCAGCCAAGGCTCAGGAACGGGCGGCAACGCAACAATCTCTGAACACCAAGGCTCCCAAGACCGCGGGCTGACGTAACAAGCTCTCAACGCCAAGGCTCCCAGTACGAACGGTGGTGTGAGTAATTTCGGTCAAGTTGTTGAAGCGCTCTTTCCGTTTCCGTGCCGGCCCAGGTCAAATGGCCTCACCGTGTCCGCGATACGCCCAGCCTTGCGCCTCAGCGCGAATGGCAGGTGGGGGGCGTACCCGTACATTGCCGTTCTTCCCCCCGAGGTGTGATTTTTTTTTGTAGTGGCCTCCTGCCAGCGCTGCCGATCCAGGACGCTCTGGACTTGGTGGACGGCGACGACGTCGACGACGAAGGCAATGACGACGACGACGACGACGATGACGATGACGACGACGGCGAGGACGACGACGGCTACGACCACGACCACGATGATTGCGGTGAAGACGTGGGCGACGACGGCGACGACGAGGACGACGACGTTTCGTTGTGTTCCTTCTCATGCTCTTATTCCTCCTCTTCCTCCTCTTCGTCCTCTTCGTGTCTCCTGACGATAATGATGATGACGTTGTCGATGGTAATGAGCATGATGAGGCTGATACTGATGGGAGAGATAACGATGATGCTGATGATACTGATGGTGATGATGATGATGATGATGATGATGATGATGATGATGATGATGATGATGATGATGATGACGATGATGATGATGATGATGATGATGAGAATGATGAGAATGATGCGAATGATGATGATGCTGATGATGCTGTTGTTGATGATGATGATTACGATGCTGAGGATGCTGGTAATGTTGTTGCTGATGTTGGCGGTGATCATGTTGTTGTTGATGTCGGTGATGATGATGATGATGTTGTTGTTGGTGATGATGATACCGATGATAGTAATGATAATGACGATGGCGCTCTTCTGGGGCATGCCCAGAGAGTCTCGCATGGAGTGCAGGGAGGGCCCCGAAGGAGGGTCATGGAGGGGTCGCAATGGAAGTGCCAGCATGGGTTCGGGAGGAGATGTTTGGAAGGGCCCCCGAGGGGGTCAGGAGGGGGAGAGTCCCGAGGGGACAGGTCGTGTGGAGAGTGCCTGGAGTGGTCCAGAGGGGGGAGCTCTGGGAGAGTCCCGAGGAGTGCCGGGGGGGTGGTCCCGAGGGGGGGGTCCTGGGAAAGTCTCGACGGGAGAGTCCCAGGGTCCTTCGGACCCTCGAATCATAATAAATAACAACAAAATGGGAAAACAGAGGTCGCGCGCCCCCCCCCGCGTACCCCCCCCCTCCCCCCTTCCCCGGCAGAGCCACCCCGGCACCCCCCCAATCAGAGCTGAAGCTCTTGCGAAGGCATTGCCAACTTCACACGCCGGATCGGTGGATTTGTTTCTCCATTCTGCCGCGAGTCGACCACGTGGTGCCCATGTGGGATGATTCGGTAGGCCGCCTGCTACCCTGCGCCACATAGCGTGCTGGCGTTTTACTTTTCACGCGGGTTGTTCCTTCTCTAAAGTTTCGCTTCCTCACGATCTGCACTAAGTTTAGTGATCGTTGTGTTGTTCCTCCCCCTCTGGTGTTAGCGACGGCAGACACATCAGAGTGATCCAGGCTCGTTCATGCGGGCGTTTGACTGTCCGCATCGGGGCGACCGTTGGCGCTCGTTCCACATATTACAGCACATGGGGTCGAGACGATGTACGCGTTAACAAAAAGAACCCACAAGGAGCCAAGATGGCCCTAAGACTTCTCACATGGCCTTTTAGAATCTAGAAGAGGCCGCAAGATGCCGAACCACTGAAATCATCTTGATGCTTTATTGCAGCTTATTTGTGTAGCTGTATGGCTTGTCAGTTCAGAGCACCGCAATGCGTTCAACATTGCCCCACGAGGGCATCCAGCAGGCCCACGACAGCTCCGAGAAAGCCCCCAGACCCCAATAGGACACCAAACGGCGCCACTAGAGTCCCAGGGGGGCTGTGGCATCCCCAGGACGATTCCACGACGGCCAAGAGAGCCCCAAGATGGCCCCGGGAGGGTCGAATAGCCTCCCAAGACGCCCTCTCTGAGAGGACCCCAGGAGTGCTCCTCGTTGGCCCCTACAGGCACAACTCATTGATCTTCTTAGGCCTTCGAATGGTTGTGCCTTTCTCTGCCTGTTGGTCTCCAGAGCGTCCACGGTGACCCCCGCAAGGTCCCAAAGGCGCACGACGGCCAAAACAGTCCACAAATTTGGAACAGCCTCCCGCAAGGCCCTGCGAGTGCCCCAGGAATGCCCCCCCACAGGCTCCCGACAGCAATCAGTCATTGACCATCCTGGTGTTTTGAACGATTGGGGTGTTGGTTCGTCCTCTCGGTCTTGAGAGGGCGCACGGCGGCCCAAGTGGCACCCAACACCACCCCAAGCCCCGTAGGGCCCCGCGACGGTCTCCAGCGGGCTCCAAAGGGTCCAAGAGACTCCCTAA